ACTCCTCTATCATTCGTCTTCCTGACAAATCAAATATTGCAAAAAAGTATGGGAAAGTGATATGTTTTATGACTACGAATGAGCCTTTTTCTTATCCTCTGCTATGCAAACCAGTCTATTTCCTATTTATGTACAAAATCCTAACTAATACAGGATGAAAATTGGATTATTTTGGTAATTCAGTGCAGCATAAAATACAATGATGATGATGGAAAGTAACGCTTAGCAATGAGATCTGTAAAAAGTATTTCCATGAATTAGTGCATTTAGCACTTTGGTTTAAGCAAACTAATGTATCACAAAAAAATATAAATACAAAAAGCACAGCTTTTCTCTACCAAGGATGTGTTCAATGAAACCTCTAAGGAAGTTTATGTTCTAGTTTCTTGTCACGTCTGTTCTGCGCCTGGTAAACTGTTATGAAGTGTATCCACAACACAAGGCGATGGTTACATTGTTTACATTATCAGTGAAATGAAAACTAAGAGTGAAGCTTTTATGTGTGCAGCCTGGTAATAAACCAGAACATGTTACCTCTCCCATCTGTTCACAATTATAGACAAGCTCTAGACTTCTCTTGTGCTTCCCTATTTTTAGGTTCCATGCACACTGGGCTTAACAAACGCCTCTAGACTACTTAATGTGCATGGGCACATAGGATAACATTAGTTGCTTCTACAGGCAAAACATGTTTTTTAAGTCAGTGTGCATGGAGCTTTGCAGTCATTAGCACACATTTCTGGCTAGATCCCTAGACTTGGTAAATTAAAATAATGAAATAAACGACAACAGGTTTCTTGACACTACATACATGTACTGTAATGATAAATGTATATATTTAGATTAGATTGAGCTTTTCTGTAGATCAGATTTTTCCTCTCTGCAGCTTTCTGAACTGTAGAGGTAGCTGCAACACATGCTAATCGAATTACACACTAGCAATAAATATGGTATTTTTGTAAGAATAGTATATCCTAGTTTATCTTGTATATAGGAAGGTTATTACATCTGGAATTTTGCTGGTAGGAAAATGCAGCTTTAAAGTTATAAGTGGCCTTAACAGTTACAAAGCACTATAAATTACAGCACTTCAATTAAACATGCTTTCTAGTTTTATATATATATATATATATATATATATTTATAAATAATTATATATATACAGTATGTATATATACAGAGTATATGTGTTTATTTTTATATATATATATATATATATATATATATATATATATATACACACATACACACACACACGCCTGCTCAGCATAAATTAGTACACACCTTTTGAAAAGTAAGATTTTAATCAATATCTAAAAGAACAACATTTTGACAAAACTGAGAATTATAGAACATTTGTTTAGCTCCTTACATGAAAGTAAGGTTAATAATGTAACTTGGATGGCAAAATCTTCAGTTTTACTCAAATTAGTTCAGGCAAAAAGGAATACACCTCATAACATAAACTACTACATCTAGTATTTTGTATGACCTCCATGATTTGTAAGGACAGCACCAAGTCTTCTAGGCATGGAATGAACAAGTTGGAAACATACTGCAACATCGATCCTTTTCCATTCTTCAAGAACGACCTCTTTTAGAGCCTGGATGCTGGATGGAGAGTGATGCTCGACTGCGTTCAGATCAGGAGACATACTTGGCAACCCTGTTTTTCTTCAGAAACAGTGGCCTTAGATGTGTGTTTTGGATCATTGTCCTGTCTGAAAAGTGCATGACGACGAAGGGCACGGAATGATGGCAGCATTTTTTTCTTTCAATATAGAGCAGTACATCTGTGAATTCATGATACCATCAATGAAATGCAGCTCCCTGACAACGGCAGTACTCATGCAGCTTCACAGAAGGACACGGCCACCACCATGCTTCACTGTAGGCACCATGCATTTTTCTTTGTACTCTTCACCTTTGCAACACCATACATTTTTGAAGCCATCAGTTCCAAAAACATCGATCTTGGTCTCATCACTCCAGAGTAGAGTCCCCGTAGTCTTCTTCTTTTTCAGCATGGACCCTAGCAAATATTAGGTGGGCTTTTTTGTGCATGGGCTTTAGGAGAGGCTTCCTTCGTGGATGACACCATGCATGCCATTCCTCTGCAGTGTACACCATATTGTGTTACAGGAAACAATCACCCCAGTTTGACTTTATACTTCTTTAGCTGACTGCAGTGAACTTTCATAGCGATTTTCTTCAACTCTCCTCATCAGAAGATGCTCCTGTCGAGGTGTTAACTTCTGTGGACAGCCTGGATATCTCTGTGAGATGGTTGCAGTTCCATCTTTGTTAAATTTCTGTATCACTTTTGCTACAGTATTCACAATAAGAAAAGCTTTGCTGATCTTGTAGCCTTCACCTTTCTTGTGTAAAGAAATTATTTTCTTTCTCAGCCTTGTGACATTTCTCTTCCATGTGGTGCCATTGCTGATAGCATGAAATGGGAAGGGGTTTTCTTTGGTAAGTAACACCCTTTTATAATCAACTCTCTGCTGGACACCTGTTTAATAAATAATTAGACTCACCTGTAGTTGAATTCTTGTTAATTAGGATTTTGTTGTCTAAAATTTAGCTTTGCTCCTAAGACTTTCATTGGGGTATATTCATTTTTGGAACATGGTCTTGAATGAATTTGTTAGGAAAAATTGTTTCCTGTGTGTGCAAATTAACAAATCTTGTTTGCGGTCAATGGCCCGCATTTGTAGGAATATTTTGTAGTATAGTGTCCCAGAAAATGTTGATTCTGAAAGGAAAGTAAGGTTTTCTGACAAATCAGTTGGGGTGTACTCATTTATGCTGAGCACTGTGTGTATGTATATGTGTGTGTATCTCTCTCTCTCTCTCTCTATATATATATATATATATATCAATATTACACAGCTTTTTTCTCTATAATCCTACTCATTTACCGTCGTTGAGGTGCTCAGGCTTGTCCTGACAAATGTTGCTGGTGCTAATCGTCAGTTGCAAGGAATAATTTGAATTTGGAAATGCGGAGGATTCCTGGCTGTGCCGGTGCAGTGTGGGTATTATGACAGATCGGAATGACAGGTGGGACAAAGTTCCGCATAACTGCCATCTAATGAATACTGTGTGATTTGTTTTCTCTTCGTATCGTGCACAGGGCACATCCCAAGCTGCCCTACATCATTAAACTTAGCCTTGGGTCACAGGGTACTCCTCATCTCCAGTCAGCAGACAGCTTCTGGATGGCAGGCACACGCTGATTTGGTATTAGTGAGCTTTCATTTGACTACTTCACAGCTTAAGTCTATAGAGTGACCTGTTACAGTAAACCCAAGCAGGAGGTTGTACAAAGTTAAATGATTTACAAGGTGATCTTTTTTACAGGAAATGTTATCAGTGAAGTACAGCATTCAGGGCATTGCAAATATCATTTGGCAGGAGCAATGATGTGGCAACAATCAGATTTTACTTTCCATCACAGCAATTGGAACTAAGAATTAGGTTACATTTACATTGCTGTAAAAAAAAAACACATTTACAAGTTTTTTTTTATTTATGGATCTGAACACAAAATCCAATCCAATGGTTTCGTAACACAAAATAAAAAAAATCTGCGTCTAAGGACATGCATATGCATTGCGGTATTGAAAAATGCAACAGGACAACATAACATTTTAAAAAAAAAAAATTAAAAGCAAGTGTCATTTGCAAAGGAACTTTTATAAAGTCATGGCCAAAAATATTGGCACCCCTGCATTTCTGTCAGATAACACACCACTTTGCCCGTAAAATTGTTGCAATTACAAATGCTTAGGCATTGTCATATTTATTTCTTTTGTTTGTATTGATATGGCACAAAATAATGTAGAAACAAAAAGCCAAATCTGACAAATTGCATGCAAAACCCCAAAAATGGACTGGACAAAATTTATTGGCACCCTCAATTTAATTTTTTGGTAGCACACTCCTTGGAAAATTAACTGAAATCAATCTCTACCTGTAACCATCAATGAGTTTCTTACACCTCTCTACTGGAATTTTGGACCACTCTTCTTTTGCCAACTGCTCCAAGTCTCTCAGATTGGAAGGGTTCCATTTCACAACTGCTTTTTTGAGATCTCTCCACAGGTGCTTCATGGGATTGAGATCTGGACTCATTGCTGGCCAGTTCAGTACTCTCCAGCGCTTTGTCTTAAACCATTTCTGGGTGCTTTTTGACGTGTGATTTGGGTCATTGTCCTGTGGGAAGACCCATGACTTCTGATGGAGACACAACTTTCTGGCACTGGGCCCTCCCTACATTACACCCCAGAATTCTTTGGTAGTCTTCAGATTTCATAATGTCATGCACACGGTCAAGACATCCAGTGCTCGAAGCAGAAAATCAACCCCAAAACATCTGTGAACCTCCACCATGTTTGACTGTAGAGACTGTATTCTTTTCTTTAACCACTTGCCTACAGGGCACTTATACCCCCTTCCTGCCCAGGCCAATTTCCAGCTTTCAGCGCTGTCACACTTTGAATGACAATTGCACGCTCATGCAACACTGTACCCATATGAAATTTTTATCATTTTTTTAGACAGATAGAGCTTTCTTTTGGTGGTATTTAATCACCTCTGGGATTTTTATTTTTTCTTAAACAAACAAAAAACCACTGAAAATTTTGAAAAAAAAAAAACTTTTTTTCTTCGTTTTTGTTATACAATTTTGTAAATAAGTGATTTTTCTCCTTCACTGATGTGCGCTAATGAAGCTGCAGTGATGGGCACTGATAGGCTGCACTGATGGACACTGATAGGTGGCACTGATGGGCACTGATTTGGAGGCACTGGTAGGTTGCACTGATGGGCATTGACAGGCATCACTGATGGGCACTGAAAGGCAGCACTGATACATAACACTGATATATGGCACTGTTAGGCAGCACTGACTGGCACTGATAGGTGACACTTACGCGCACTGATAGGTGACACTGACTGGTACTGATAGGTGGCACTGATTGGCAGCACTGATAGGTGGCACTGATTGGCATTGATAGGTGGCACTGACTGGCACTGATGGGTGACATTGAAAGGCAGCTCAGATGGGCACTGATATGTGGTATTGATGTTCACTGGTATGCTCTGATATGTGGCATTGATGTGGCACTGATGGGCACTGGCACGTGGCACTGATGAGCACTGACTGCTGGCACTGATGGGCACTGACAGGTGGCACTTCTGGGGCCACACTGATCTTCAGTGCCCTGATGATCAGTGTACATGTCCCCTCCACGGAAAGCCGATTACCAGCTCTCCTCTCCTCTCAAGCTGTCAGCGTGATGGCTCGAGAGGAGAGAAATGCCGATAACCGGCATTTCCGTGTTTACATGTGATCAGCTGTGATTGGACACAGCTGATCACATGACCGAGCTGACATCTTCGGGTCTTTCTGTGATCCGCTGTGTCCGAGGGACACAGCGCACCGGCATTCGCCATGCTGCGCACTCTCTGAGCCGCGCATGCGCAGTGAGAATGGAAGGACGTCATATGACGTCCTATCAGAACGAGACAACCACCTTGCGCCCGTCATTGTACTATATGGGGGGCGGAAGGTGGTTAAAGGCCTAATTTCTTTTTCTGAAAACAATAGAATGATGGGCCTTACCAAAAAGCTGTAATTTTGTTTCGTCTGGCCACAGCACGTTCTCTCTAAAAGGATTTTGGCTTCCTCAGGTAAGTTTTGGCAAACTTTAATCTGGCAATTTTTGTTTCTGTGTCAGCAATGAGGTCCTCCTGGGTCTCCCATAGCATCCCTTTTCATTCAGATGGTGACGTATAGTGCGAGCTGACACAGTTGTACCCTGCGCCTGAGGATCAGCTTGAATTTGTCTGGAAGATGATCGAGGTTCTTTTTCCACCATTTGAGCAATCCTTTGTTGCAATCTTTTATTACATTTTTTTCTCTTTCATCAAGATCTGTTAATTAATACAGGTGAGTTTAATTACAAATTATAGGAGTATCAGAAACTAAGAATGCAATTATTTCTTACAATTTTGAGAAGGTTCAATAAATTTTGTCCATTCCATTTTTGGGGTTTTGCATGAAATGTGTCAGATTTGGCTTTTTCTTTCTCCACTTTTTGTGTCATACCAATACAAACAAAAGAAACATGAGAATGCCTACATTTACGTTTGTAATTGCATCAGTTTTCTGGCTGAAGTGGTGCACTATCTGACAGAAATGCAGGGGTGCCAATATTTTTTGGCCATGACTGTATCAGTAAAACTGCCTGAATTTGATGACATAGCGGATTAAGTGTAAAAAAAAGTGAAATCCATTATTTCAACTTAAAGCTGAGCTCTAGGCAGATGTAAAAGACACAAGTAAATGCAATGCTGTAATCATAAATGCATTGTATAAAAAGTACTATCATTTGAATTGGCCTCAGCCCTTTGCAGTCCTTGGATAGCAGAGCTCAGAGAGAAGGTGAAGCAGCATGAGAAGTCCAGTTTGCGGAGTTTCAGTGCAAGGAGCTAGATGATAGGAGGAGAGAGCAGAGCGACATTATTAGCTCATCAGTGTGCTGCTTCTCTTTAACTTTCCACTCACAAGGTGGTTGTGGGGAAGAGAACAGTGAGAGACTTCAGTATACAATATTTCAGTTGCATTTATTTCATGTGTACTTAGCTCTTTACCTGGAGTTTAGCTTTAAAATATAAAGTATTGAAAACTTTAGTTGATACTGAGGAAGATAAAATGATTATAAAGATTAAAAAGAGGTGACCTCGACTTAGGCAAAACAGATCCATCCAAATCGCAAGGTCTACATTGTGCTAGATACTTTATAGCTGTAGGTAACACTTGCTGTGGTGACCATGAAGTGAACAACTTTCCACTGCATTTCTATATGGGCCATTTAGTAATCTTAGATACACTGGCCTGTCCCCCCTCTTTAATTGCCATTTCTCAGAGTTCAATACATTTAGCTCGCTTAGTTATCGCTCCTGAATGAGTTTCCTCTGGGTTACCCCATTTTTCAAACTTATGAAAAAAATTTTGTTGAAGGAGATCTGTGATCCCAGCATACAATGCAATTTTATAACATCAGCATTGTAATAGTACAAATAATAATATTAGTACAATAGTAGTAGAAATAATTGTTATATTTGACAATCCATCAAAACTTACCATAAAATGTTGTTTTAAGTGCTATTGTGTGTCATAAACTTCAGCTTTAACAGAAAAAAAAAAGAAACAATATATTCTCTGTGAAACAACTATCAGAACAACCAAGGAGAAGGAACTGGGTTGAGGTCAACATGGTAATAGAAACTACAAGCTAGTCGTATGTGCTGGCATGATCTGACCACCCCATGGTTCTCACATAAACACCAGCACTTATACTGTATATGCATACATGTTTATTATTATTATACAAGTTATATTTATATTGTAAAGCGCTGAGCAAACTGTTGGCGCTATATAAATCTTGTATAATAATAATGTTTTTTAATATAAAGGAAGGGAAAGGGCAGGCAGATGTTGCTGGACTGCAAAAACAAGGAACAGAGGGTGCACCAGTCTAGCGCATTACCTGAGCGATTATTTTATTAATGTAATAAAGCAGATGTATACTCGCAAGCAACATCAGAATAAACGCACTTCAATCCACAGTGTACTTGAAGCAGCCTGGTCCCCTACACAAGTCCCAGTTGGTTCTGAAGAAAGGGGGATTTCTCCTCGAAAAGCATCAGCCTTTTGGATAGCCTTTTCGTACTTAGGACTTGTCTAGGCTGCTTCAAGTACATTGGATTTCCGTGCATTTATTCTGATGTTGCTTGTGAGTGTAGATCTGATTTTTTACATTAATACAATTATTGCTCAGGTAATGCACTAGGCCAGTGCACCCTCTGTTCCTTGTTTTTGCAGTTATCTTTCTGGGTTTCCCCGACTTGCTGGAGGGCAGCATAGCCAGTGTCATGATTGGAACATCTGAACTTACATAATGAATTATATACCAATACATGTGCCAGTACACTTCTTTTGAGTGCAGGAGATTGTTTTCTTTTTGTGTCTGCAGATGTTGGAAGTAAATATTAGGATCAGAATAGAGTTTTTAAAGTTTGTCTGGTGGGGATATCCCTTATTCCAAGTATCAGCCAAAAAGGGGATTGGGTGATTACATTTCTATGGTCAGCTTAATGAATAGATGACCGAGTCATGCCTACTAGCTCTGAAGTCAGAATCAGAAAGGGTTGCTGGTATAAAGAATAACACCCCTCACTATACACTTCCATCTTTATAACTGTATTGTTAAGTATTGCACAGTGAGCAGCCTAGCAAAGGACAACCTATTAGTCACAGAAGCCATTTACTCTGTCCATAGGTATTTAGGGGCCTTGATCTCTGCTTGTCTGCTCCCTTGTACAGCCTCAGGCTCTGTTCAATATTCCCAGCATGTGACATGTTGTGAACAGCACAAGAACATGCTGCAATACAGACAGCTCATTTACTAACAGCGAAAACAAGCATTGCTGGTAGAACATTCTATTAGGCTGCTTTCACACTGATGCCTTTTTGCGGCATTTACATTGCTAAAAATGCTTCAAAACCGCAATTCCTTTAAATCCTGGGGACTCTTAACACCACTGCGAGGCGGGTGAGATGCGCTGTGAAAAGTACTACATGCTGCAACTTTGGTGCTGTTTTTAAAACCGCACCAAAAATGCACCTGCCCATTAAAATTAATGGATAATGTGTGAAAAATGCACCGCAGTTGCATTTTGGTGTGTTTTTTTTTTTTTAGTCACATGTCAATGTTTCCTAGGTGCATGCTGGGAGTCAGACAATCAGAAGCTGTACCAGGAAAGGCATCCTTGCTACTGATTTTTAGCCTGTGTATACCCAGCTTAGGAAAACATGCTCTCACGTTTATGTACATAACTACAAAATGCAATAGGAAGGGACATTTCAAGGAAAAAAATCCAGGTAGAGCCATGGGAAGCATTACTTTATTCCCACCTCTGCACCCAATACTTTTGTTTGTAACACTGAAGTTGTGCATACATTTGCAAATACATGTGAAGACACAATGCCGCATCAAAGCACCTCTGCAAAGTGGGTTCATTTAAGAGCCCTGTAATGTAATCCAGTGGTCTCCAAACTGTGGCCCAGGGGGGCCAGATGCAGCCCTTTGCTCTTCTTTATCTGGATCTTGAGACATTATTCTTTCACTGACAGTAATAATGGGTCTGTAATTGTTGCCACTGACACCAACAATGGGGTACTATTCCCCCCCCACTGACACCAACGATGGGGTACTATTCCCTCCCCCCTGACACCAACGATGCAGCGCTATGCCCCCCCCACTGACACTAACAATATGGCAGCAATCCTCCCACTGACACCAAAGATGGGGCACTATCCCTTCCACTGACACTAACAATGGGGCCCTATTCCCCCCCCCACTGACACCAATGATAGGGCCCTATTTCCCCCACTGACACTAACGATGGTGCCCTATTCCCCCACTGACACCAAAGATGGAGCACTATACCTTCCACTGACACCAACAATGGGGCCCCATCCGCCCCCCCCCTGACACCAATGATGGGGCCCTATTCCCCCCACTGACATAAACGATGGGGCCCTATTCCCCCCACTGACACCAACGATGGGGCATTATTTCTCCTCTTAATGTCAGAGAAGGAGCATTGTTTTCTCCCACTGGGCACAGTCCAGCCCCCTAAGGTTTGAAGGACAGTAAACTGGCCCTTTGTTTAAAAAGTTTGGAGACCCCTGATATAATCAAACTCATTCATCAAAGCTCTTGACTGTAAAGAAGAGAGCGAATAATGACCTCTCCTTCCGCTCATGCAGCTTAACACTACTCTGTTGCAGAGAGCAGGTTCCTCAAAGTCTACTGGAAAATTGACACGACGGGCAGTGTCATTCTCTGTGATCCCCCACAGCTCTCATTTCTTCCCTCTGACCTCAGAATGATGTAGGATGCAGCAGTGACGTACCGTATCTATGGAGAAGCAGCTTTGCACCTTAGGACAGGAAGTGTTAGGACTATAGAACACCTCCCCCTCTATCAACATAAGAGAGGTGTTCTATAGTCCACATAGGTGAACTGGGCAGGGCTGACAAAAGCAGTTGGAATTTCAGTGCAGCAAAGAGTTTGGAGGGTGAGAGCTACAAGCATTTCCTCCCTTGGGGGATTTAACTATGATTTTTCAAATGTGATGATACGTCTTTGTTAAACACTATTGTTGGATGATAACATCTAGCTTTTTGTGAACTGATTAGTGTCAGCCCTGCCAGTGTCCTGCTAAACTATTCAACCAGTTC